TGTTCTTCGCACAATAACACTGGTCTAACACTACGATGTCGAGGTAAACCACAACTATTTTTTTCGCGCAATTTTCCGTACTTTTGTGATTCAGTCCCCAAATTTAGATACGCTGTAATGTGAGTCTTCCTTGCGTCGTGATCTATATGAAAATAATTTTCCATGTGTGGAACTGAATAAGGTTTAAGACAATCATAAAATTATTTGCATCGCTTGGTATTTTGCTTGTTTTAATTTTGTGTCCTAAAACTTCGATCCAGAACAGTTTTGTCTACCGTACTATGATCTTTCATATAATCAGTTGAAACTTCTGTAGTGTCGACCCATTTAGGTCTATCAGTCATCAATAGTCGGCACTTCCAGTCAATCAATTTTTTGTTCGCCTGATTTTCAAACAGGAGTTGACATTCGCAAGGAAAACCTTTTGGAAACTACAGTTCTAGAACCAAAAACCTTGATTAAATTGTAAAAAACCTGCATTGATTTCTGCAGCACACAAGAGTACAGTGTTCACGTTTTGACTTTGAAATGCCTCTTCTCGTAGGATGTTTTAAAAACACGTGGTGGTTGGTCATGTTACATCTTGTTTGTATCCTCATTTTTGCAGAGAGGACGCTTAAGAATGGAACACCCTGAGAACATCACGGAAATTGTGAATGACATAGCGGTGATTGCTGACGATCTATCTGAGGATGAAACTGAACAACAGACGATGGGATATCTACACCAGCTTCAAAGGATGACAAAGGATCCTATTACTCTGGGGAAACAAACAGCTTGGAGATTCCGTCAAACGGCTGATACACTTGATTTCTTGTGGATAAATTGCAAGAAAGCACATATTGCAGGAACGTCTGCTGGAATACTGGGAGGGGCTCTAACAATTGGTGGAGGAATTGCAACAGTGATGTCAGCAGGAGCCGCCACGCCACTGTTGCTAATTGGGCTTGGTTTTGGATTTGCTGGTGCCGGCACAAATATAGCCCTAAGCTTCATAGAGGCGGCTGTGAACTCAAACGAAATCAAGAAAGCGGAAAAGGAATGGAAGGAAACTTTAGATCGCCTAAGGAACATGGAAAGAAGCCTACAGGAATGGATGAAAAAGTCAGGGAAGCTCTCGCTCAAAATACGTCACCTTGTACGAAGACTTACTTCCAACGGTGTGGCATCATTCTGTGCTAAGGCAGGAGTACAACTGGCTGATGAAGTACTAGGAGCGACGGCTAAAGCAAGCGCACAAGCTGTAGATGATGTAGCAGGAGCAGGTACTAAAGCAGGAGCCAAAGCTCTAGGTAAAGTGATTATTGGTGTCAGTGCTGTTTTCCTGGTGGTGGATGTCATAGATCTGGGCTTCACGATCAATGATTTAGTTGAGAAAAAGGGCTCGGATGCGGCGACGTTTTTGAGAGCAAAGGCAGACCAACTCGACCAAATATGTTCTGTATGCTAAATGGAAAGATACATGTATTTCATCGCATACTCAGGAACACTGCTGAAAACCTTCATACTTGACTTCGAGTTTGACTCTTTACGGATGTCAGTTAAACGTTAGCGTGTGAACTTACTTTCCACAGTTTTTAATTCTTAGAGTCAATTAAAAGTCCGCTTATAGATGATATATTTTAAACATTTGCCAAATGTGTGTACCAATGAGTTGGCTTAGTAGGTGAAAGAATAACGGGTCGTTATTGCTTTAAGTGTTTGCTAGCGTCTTGTTTTGGTAGGTTTACAAGACTATAGGGGAATCCTTGTTTACAATATTTGCCTCATAAGTAATTCAGTTTCTGATGGAGCTGCAAATAAATCAGTTCTGAATATTGAAAGGTCATAGTACGATTAACTCCGCCAATGAATATGAGCCTGAAGTATTGAATACTTTTTGTGCAACACGAGTTTAAAAACCCAAAATTTTACGAAGAGTGTATGAGCTCATTAGCGCTTTTGCAACTCATAAATTTTGTAGTTTTTGAAAGACAATATCTCCTTGAATATTACACCCAAAGAACTAAAATTTTCACCATGTATTATGTTTTACTAGCTCTTTAGCTGCCTGGAGTCAATTGATATCTAACTTGTTT